CCAGCCACAAATAATGCCAGGTTCAAAGAGATTGATGAAAACTATAAGCTGAACGGACGCCAATGTGGTATTTGTGGCCATTGGAAAATAAACTTGAATAGACATGTTTTGACGCAGCATAGTGGATCCATGCAAGCCCTGGTACGGATGACTTCAATCTCCCGCTCATAAACCGCTTGCTGCTGACCAATAAGAAAGATCTCAAATGGCGAAGCTACTCGTGATAAGCGCAGATACATACTGCAGCGCCTTAAAAACGAGAGGCTGAAAGCAAGTTTTCCACCAGAGCTGCTTGCTCTTGTCCGCCAGATGAGAGAGTCGCAGCCCGCAAAGGTTCGTTATTTCGGTGGTCGATTCCTACGCGGGCCGCTAGGGGGCAAGGAGGTGTCTGGTATGCCGCAGTTTTTTGAAAAGTCGTCCGGCAGGCTGAAATACTGTTATATGGACCTCATCGACCCTTCAAAAATCAGTTCCAGCAGCCGACACATAGCGAAGAGAACATGCAACATGTCACCTGCGCAACCGTTCCCCAACAAGTCATGGTTTAGAGGCTCTGATTTTCAAGTCACGACCTCGATATCGACTAATGTTTGGACGCCGGACAAGTATCCAAACTGGAAGGGGCCTCCTGGATTCCTTGTCGGTCAAGATCCGACCTGGATTCCCGGACACCTCCGCCAGTGTGCCTTTTGCACAAGATCGGTGTGCAATTGCATACATAAACAAGTCCGCCAGGAGATACCATCTATTGTGGATACATTAAACATGGGCGAGGGAGCTTGGGCAACAACTGACTACAAGCGTGGCGAGTTTTTGGGCGAGTTGGTGGGTGAACTAGCGCCTATTGACTATTATACCGATGGCTGGGCAGCCGACCTGTCCCGCGATGACCTTTCGCCGGGCGGCAAGGAAGTCACATGGTGTCAGGTATATCCCCGCTACATGGGGAACTGGGTGCGCAAAGTCAACCATTCTTGCGAGTCCAATTGCAAATTTGAATCGTGGAACATCTCAGGAAGGTGGCGTGTGATGCTACGAGCAACTCGTCAAATCAAGCGCAACAGTTGGATTCTTGTCAACTATGGAGAGGAATATTGGGCGGAAAATCATGCATGTCTTTGTG